TGTGTGCACCCATTTCACTAGTGACTTACCAGTGGTCAGCCCCCTTGCATGCACCCTGCCACATGCCTCCCCACTGCAGTGAGGACAGAGGTGGGCTGCTCCCCCTGTGCCAGGGATAGGGTTAACAGCACTGGGGCTGGGCTCCCCATCACTGTCAGTGTGCAGCCACTAACCACGTAGGGGGGCGGGCGCTGTGCTTTGTATTCCGCTCACGAGTGAGTGGCTAATTGGTGAGATGGATGAGTCGCGTGTGGCTCTGCCTTGGGCACCTGCTGCTGCCTCTCTCCGTTTGTGCTCCAGCCCTGCCAGCCTGGAGAGATGAGGGCTGTCCCGAGCTGCTGGCTGGCCTCCCCTGCTCCCAGGGGTGCAATTCCTCCTGCTCAGGCTGGCACTGAGCCTCCCACGGCAGAGACCTAGAGATCTCAGGCTAGATGGCTGCATGAGAGAGAGAACTGGGTCTCCTGCTAACCAGACCGCATCTCCATGGAAACAAATAACCAGGGAACAAGCAGGGGGGTGAGAGCTCAGCTGTCCCAGGGGTCAGCAGAAGATGGGTATGGTGGGAGGGGGGAAGACTGCAGGGAATGTGACAATTCATGTTACTGAGCATCTCCCCAAGGCCTGGCCCAGCTCGAAGCTGGAGCTGGAGTCCGGCAGGATCTTCCCAGGATGTGGCAGGGAGCCCATGGAAGAGCTGTCGAGGCTGCATTTCCAGCTCCTGTGTCTCCAAGGCTTGGGACTTGCCGAGAGCCCTGGCCGGAGGCTGGGCGGCTATAGCAAAGCTGCTAATGAGATGACTTATGGATGTGCAAGTGCTGGACCCTGCACAAAGGGTTAAATGCTGACACCTGTGCCAAGGGGGCTTCGATAAAGTGGGAATATTTGTATGAGTCCTGTTTGTGCCCCAGTTTATCTTATATGCTGCACTGTTACCCAGTGGGGGGAAGGGTCTGTTTGCTCCCAGCGCAGGCTGAGAGACACGGGGATACGTGGCGCTTAGCTCTCTGGGGCTTGGTGAGATGCGTGAATCCCGGCAGAGAGGACCCGTCTCCCTCAGGGTCTGTCTCAGCTGGACGGCGCTCACGCTGTGAAGCCGGGTGCTGTCGGCCCAGAGGTCCTGTCTAAGGAGGAGGTGAAGCCGTGTGGCTCACCTGGAGGAAGAGCAAGACCCCTAGGGGGTCTGGCACACCGCAGGGGTTCCTGCTAGAGACTGTTCCAAAGCTGGGGCCGTAGCACCGATGCTGCGGAGCCATGACAGCAGCCCAGCTGGGGACGGTTGTTAATGGGATCATGGGGGATTTAGCAGGGAACTAGCAGAGGAGCTGCCTCCAGTGGGCACTGGCTCTAGTCATGTCCACCTGAAGCCCCTTGGCTTGCAGAGCATCTGGCCCTGAGGAGAGTTAAGGGCCAGGCCAGGTGGAACTGGGCCATGCCATCCGGGGCTGGTGGGCTAAGCAGTTCCCCCGGTGGAATGGACAGGGCCCAGCCAGCAGAGATGAATGGAGTGTGCTGAGCGGGTAGCAGAGACCAAGGAGAGAGCTGGACTTGGTGGGATCTTAGCTGGGCTTCCTGCACGTCCTATGGCTGAGGCCCCGGGCTGTGTGGGCCTGCTGTGCCGACACTGAAAATACCCCGAGTGTGTCACACGGAAACTGAACCACCTCAAACCTGCTACCACCCTGCAACCTCTGAGAGCAGCCCCCTCCCCCAGCCAGCACCCCGACAGATTT